GTTTGATTAACTGAAAGGAGAATAAGCAGAATAAGCTTTTCAGAAAATCTTTTCGTTCACGTGAAAACGTGTTTCTCATAAAGATCTATCTGAAGAAATTGCCTGAATGAGTTTCACTAAGTTTTAAAGCAACTTTTGCATAAAAAGCCGCTCACATTTCGATGACTCACTCAAAGTTTGTGCAAAGAAAAGCAATTTTCATACCCTGACACTAAATACAAGCAAAGTAACTCAAAAATCTTTATCGAGGTCTTGGAGTGATATCGATGCGTTGCGACATCGATTTCATGTCGATCATTTTGTGAAACATCTCAATGAATTTTCTCCTTATTTGTTGGTTGATGGCCAGCCCGATGTAGGCCTCGCTTAGGGTTGACAAATCCGAGGCTAGATTCATCTGAAATCTTTGATTGATGCTTTTAGTACGACAAGCCAGCTAACCAGGGAACTCCTGGAAGTTACATTTCCGAAACGATCCGATTTCAGAAAAGATCCGATTCCGGAAAATATCCAATTCCAGGCACGATCCGATTCCAGGAACGATCTGATTCCAGGAACAGCCCGAGTCCAGGAACGATCCGATTCCAGGAACGATCGGATTCCAGAAACGATCCGATTCCGGAAAATATCCGATTCCAGGGACGATCTGATTCCAGGAACACCCCGAGTCCAGGAACGATCCGATTCCAGGAACAACCCGAGTCCAGGAACAATCCGATTCCAGGAACAACCCAAGTCCAGGAACGCTCCGATTCCAGGAACGACCTGATTCCCCTTGTTAAGCGCACCCCAAAACTGCTTTCAAATCACCTGAAAATCAGTTTTTATACCTTAATAAGAAAGCAAAAAAAGTTTTGCTATCGAGAGGATTTGAACCAGGGATAGAAGGTGCGAGGCGCTAGCACACTATCAACTAAACAAGCTGATGAATCGGCGGCAAGGCTTTAAGAAGGCTAGCTTGTTGTTTGGCAAAATTGGTCGAAACTTTGAAGCCTTATATTTCGAAAACGGCTTATGGTAAGTGAGATTTGAAAGAAGTTTGAAAGTGAAAGCAAACATCCCCTTAACCAGGGGATGTTCACACCTCAGAACCAGATCGCTACTGAAATCTAACTTCAAGGGGTTCCTTGGTAAGCCCAACTCTAGAAAATTTCGGTTTGAACGTCATACGGGACAACACGCATCGATTCTTTTTAAAGTTCTTAATGGAGTTTTCAAAAAGTTGATTTGAAAGAGAATGACGTTCTTTTCCGGTTGACACCTATTGACGTCTAGATCAAAATTCTCGAAGACTTAAACGAACCGCAAAGTAAATGATCGTCAAGTCAACAAACTGAAGACCGAAATTCTAAACAAGAAAATTTGATTTTCTTATGTTCTTTTACATACGAGAAACAGCAACAGCCCAAGCTGGGTGATCATCGTGCAAAAACCGATGAAGAAGAGATTCAGCTCGACTCGACTCCACGTATCGTCTCTAGAATTTCAGAAATGACTTTGGTCATCGACTTTGGTCATCGACTTTGGCCATCGACTTTGGCAATCGACTTTGGCCATCGACTTTGACACTTGAATTGTTATTTTAGAAAATTTAGAAAGGAAAAGAGTAAATGACGAATGATTTCTTGTCATCCTGATGAGCCAAAAGTGAGATTGAAGATAGTGCTTAAATTCAGATTCATTCTTTTAACAAGTTAACAAGTTCGAATTTAAATCAAAATTTGAATTTGAATTTGAATTTGAATAGAATCAATTTCTTCTTCAGTCTCTACAATCTTTCTTTTCTTTGTTCAATAAGTTTACTGTGTGTCATTTTTTTTAGTTAAACATCTTCCATTTTCACTTTTTCAGGCTTACATTTAAAGTATTGGTACTACGCCGGTTGGACGGGCACTTTCTTCTTCAAAACTACTTTTTCTGGGGTATTTTTATGCTTAGATTCCAAAAAACACAACGAGAGCTTGGGGAAAAGCGTTTGAAGCCGAGTTTTGAGGCTTCAAAGTGCGCGGTTCTATCGTGTACTTGACTAGAAGGAGCCCAAGACTTGGTACTAAGGTAGTTGAGGGGGGGGGGGGGGGGGGGCACTTTTTTCTTCAAAATCACTTTTTCTGGAGTAATTTTGTGCTTAGATTCCAAAAAACACAACAAGAACTTTAGAAAAAGCGTTTTAAGCCGAGTTTTGAGGCTTCAAAGTGCGCGCTCATACAGTGAGGGATGCACAAAGAAAAGAGAACTAAAAATGGTCTCCCTAAACATTTTTTGAAGCGAAAAACACGTCTTCTGACATAATTTAACCTACTGATTACGTTTCTGATCAAATTAAAGCAAAATAATACAAAATTTTCCAAAAATTTCGACCATGTGGTTCCCCACATGTGTCAAAATCGATCAGAATCTTGAAAAATATTTTTGCAATTTCTTTTACCTCTACCAATCAATTTATGTTGGAAAATTTGTTATTTAATGGTTAAAATGGTTTTGGCTCTAGTATTGAACTTAAAAAGTCCCGGGCTCCATCGAGTCAAGTACACGATCGAATCGCGCACTTTGAAGCCTCGAAACTCGGCTTCAAACGCTTTTCTCAAGCTCTACTTGTGTTTTTTGGAATCTAAGCATAAAAATACCCCAGAAAAAATGTTTTTGAAGAAGAAAGTGCCCCACGCCGAACCGGCGTAATACCAAGTGTTGAGATAAAATACACCTCTTTTTCCGGCGCCTCAGCAGGAACATTTTGGCGAAGATGAGGATATTTAGGCCAAGTGAGATCGGCGGATAGACATAGCCCATGATTTTGACGATGAATGCCGAAATTGCGTATTGCTAGAAAATCAGATATCGTAAATGCTTTGATCTTGATATAAAGTCGCGTAGTCACTAACTTTAATCGCTTGTTTCTGCTCTCTCAGATGTTTTAGCGGAAAGCTTTTATTATCAAAAAATTCTCCTAATTCAGGGCTATCTTTTGATACTCAAACGCATATTGTAGCTCACAGCAGCGTCGAGAATGAGGCGTTTGAAGAAAACAATTTAGACTACGCGACTGTACGGGCTCTATTGAAGCATTTACGTTAGAGAGCACACATAGATTTTGTTGATTTGTAAAATACCGTACATCTCTGAGGGCTGCTCCTTGGATTGTAGTGGCGCCAACTTGGATAAAAACGCTGCCATTGAGGAAAAAGTATTGATATGATAAGAGAATTCCGATGAGATATGCAAGGAAAAAGGCTATGTTGATGTTTCGAGGGCTCCAGAGCTGAAAAAGAGCTAGGAAAGTTGTAGACATTAGATATCAGCTGAATTCTACAGCTTCTATTATGATTTTTGTGATGAGAACAAAGCTTTGAAGGCAATTACCTTTTCCCGGAGACGCGTTTTATTTTATAGGGCTTTTAAAAAAAGTTATGAACTTCGACGTTTACCTCTTAACTCAATAACTCACAGAAATAAGAAGGTTTTGAGCGCAACTTTGCAAACTACACAAGAGTCCTGTTGTTAGAAGTCCTTGAAAGTTTTTGCGTACCAAGGAACCCCTTGAAGTAGTCGCAGAACATTTCAAAAGCGATCGCAGAACAAAAGCGATCCGAGGTGCAAGCATCCCTTGGTTAAGGCCAATTATTCAAAAGTCGGAACTTTTTTTGGCATCAAATTAATATTATTTAAGAGGTTACTGATTAAATAATATTAATTATTAAAGTAATTTTCTAGTCTTCTAAGAACCGCCTTATATCTGATCGACAGAGGCCTACGGAGTAATCTGGCAACTGTCGGGACTCAGTGGACAAACCGACCAAAACAAAGCGACGCACTAACACACTATCCACTAAGCTACACGGACTAGACTACCAAAACAAGCCGATGAATCGGCGGCAAGGCTTTGAGAAGGCTAGCTTGCTATTTGGCGAAACTGGCTGAGACTTTAAAGGATTATATCTCGAAAACGGTTTATGATAGGTAGGATTTGAAAGCAGTTTCGGGATGCCCTTAACCAGGAGATGTTTGCACCGGAGAATCAGTTCGTTACTGAAATCTAACTTCAAAGGGTTCCCTGATTCAATTGACAATTATTTTTGACAATTGTTTTTGGCCTGACCAACTGTATGATGACGAATCGGCAAGAAGACACTCGTGAATCGGTTCAAATGCATCAAGATCTGAGCCAAATTCTGGATATGAAAGGCGGCTCCTTGGAACATGATAAACAGTCGAAATGGCCAAAACGCTTGCTCGACGTTGGCATAGAACGAGGCCAGGGCACGCAATGTGGGCAATTTTAGCGTTATCCACGTATTGAGATAAGTGAGCAGGTACTGGAAAGTTTCTTGGTGACTTTTGCGAGAAGACTTTTGATTTTTGAGTTATTGTCATTGTTATTGTTATTGTTATTGTTATTGTTATTGTTATAAGTTTTTAAGACGAGAGATTTTCTGGACGAGAGCCAAGCGATCTTCTGTCTTTTATAGGTTTGTATTAGGTTGGAAAGAAAGTTCTGGGAAAATGTTTGATTGGAATTTCTTTAAAAACGAATCCATTCAAGAACATTTTCTTCTATTATTTACAAATCGACTCCAAGAAGTTGTTCGTAAAAAATGAGTGCAGCATTTCTTTAAAATTTTTGAGATTTTTGAAAAATTCTTATTTTCCAGCCTAAATTCAGCTTTTTTCATCAGAAAAACGATTTCTTATGAGAAATAGCTATCATAAATGAGCAATACCCTTTATAATCTCTATTTTTAGCCAAAAATTTTTACAGAGAAGCTGTATTTCAAAAAATACTTTTTTTTCATGTCATCTTCTTAGCACTTAGCACAATAGTTGATTGTTAAAATAGGTGATTCTGAAAAGTTAAAGCAATTAGATTGCCTTAATCACAAATTTTCCCTATTTTAAATACTTCATTTTGAGGTTTTGAATGGGACCCATTGCCTATCCATTAACCCAGTAAAAATTGATCTAAAGTTGACGTCTCCAGTCTTTTGGAAATTTGGCTATAAGCCTAATTTTTGATTCTCTACAACTTTTCTATTGACACCAAAATGGGTTTCTTTTGAAGAAAGTGCTCAAACTGGGAGTCCAGGGCTCCATTCTCAAAGTCCAGTCCTCCATTCTCAAAGTCCAGTCCTCCATTTTTGAGTCTCACACTTGTCTCACACACAAACCAAAATCCTAACACGAAAGACGAAAGAGGAAAATGAAGCTTATATCCAAATTTTCAGAACGATTCAAAAACTGGTTTTCAAGAAATGCGAAATTTCCGAATTTTCACAAAGCTTGCAACAAAACTTGCATTTTAAGCGAAACTACTAAGTGTATCTTTTTGAAAATTTGGCTATAAGCCTAATTTTTGATTCTCTACAACTTTTCTATTGACTCCAAAATGGGTTTCTTTTGAAGAAAGTGCTCAAACTGGGGATCAAACTGGGACATCGCCAGTCTTCCATTTCGAGTCTCACACTTGTCTCACACACAAACCAAAATCCTACTACGAAAGAGGAATCCACAAATTGCCTGTAAAATGGGCAGAAGTCGTCAATAATAATGGAAATTATTTGGAATGAATTGATGGTTTTATGTTGAATAAATTCTAGTTCAAAGTCCCGCAGCTTTCAATTCACCAGCCCAATACATCATTTTACAATAGTTTTCAAGCACAAATTTGCTGTTAAAACGAACCACAATCAAAGTGAAGGCATAAACTCGGTAGAAAGATGCCTGGAAAAAGGTTTTATGGCTGAGAATGCAAATGATTAGGGAAAAGTTGAGAATCGCCGACGGAATCCCATAAATACAGTAGATGTGAAAGTCGTATTCCATATTAGACAGTGATCAAATCGTAATGTAAGAAATATTTGCAAGATTTCTACGGAAATTGATGAGGAAGTGTGAACTTGTTTATCGAAACTTCTCGCGATAATTGGGCTAGCCTTTTTGGAAAGAAGTGATACTTATTAAAATAATTGGACACTCATCTAGGACACAAATTTTTTAACCTTTAATTTCGAGAACAAATTAGCGTCAATCATGAGATGGTGATAAAAAGGGGCTAATTGCAAGTCTAGATGATTTGTGATGTGCATGTGAAGGTATTTGGTACAAAAAGATGATGAATTTTGAAGAATTGAAGAGTCTGTGACTTCCTGCTCTCTTCTAATTTTGTGTTGAGCTTGAGCAGATGTTGAAGAAGCAGTCTTCTCAAGGATGAACTCTTTCCCTGGGCTCGTAAACATTTTTGAAATCGCACAGATCAAAAGTGCGAACGAAAACTTGTTTAAATAAACTGAGAACAAGGGTTTTTATGGTCATTCTCTTTGGATTTTTATGCATCAACCAGCCAAAAAAACTCGTCTAACGGCGGGTTTTTCTGGCTGAATGTTTTGACGCATAGTTTTTATCGCCGTAAATGTTTTAATACAAAGTGCGCCATAATTGTCTCTTCTCAAGGATGAACTCTTGCCCTGGGCTTGTAAGCATTTTGGAAACCGCATTTGGTCTTACCAGCAAGATCCGCACCGGTCCACAGATCCAAGAAAGTCCCAAAGTTTTGACAACTTCCCTTACATTTCTTCCTCTGGCCATCTAGCTCTCCAGACTTCAACCCAATAGATTTTTCAGTGTGTTCTTGAAGCCAAAGCTTGTTCAAAGCCCTCAAGAAACATCGAAAGCTTGAAGAAATCACTGTTGAAAGCGTGGGAAGAGCTCAATCCAGCCTATTTGGTGGCCAATGCTCGCCATTGACCGTTGACGCCTCCGAGAAACGCCAGCGAGCCTGCTCAAATGCTAATGGTGGCCAATTCGAATTTGATAGTTCATTTTTAATCGTTAACCCATTCGAAACCGCAGCGTTTTTTCTTTTTTTCGTCTACGGACCAAGCCCTTTTTTGACATTTTTGACTCCGAAGCAGTTTATTTATGGTTGGAAAGATGTAAGAGAGTCTTCTACACCATTTATTTTTGATGAAGAACGATTTGGATTTGACTTCAGTACTTTTCAAGATCCTATCGATTATTGTTCTTATTTTATCGACGACAATATTTTAGTAGGCGAATCTAATAAACATGGAAAAAGGAAAACAAACTGGCAGGATTTCGATGCAAAATCTTTCAAGCTCTTCCTGGCTTCAAATGGGAATCGTCAAATTACCGAGGATTCGTGACTGCTGGAGTAGCAGGCCTGGATTAGGGGGATTTTCCCACATGTCCCACATTATGTCAAGAGCAAAATTTGAATCTATTCTTCGCAACCTGCGTTTTTGTGATAATGAACTGGATCCTGCAGGAGATCGGCTTTATAAGATTAGAGCTATTATGGAACATTTCAATGCAAAACCAGAGACTGCATTGATTCCGGGTAAATATGAAACATCTTTTTTGCCCACGTAATTTGTAGATCTGCTACAATTGGAATCTACATGTAATGCTGAAAAACAGCAAAAAAAAGCAATTAATTGAATGAAAATAGCTCAATTAGCGCTGCAGCGAATAATCGCTGCAGCGGTCCGTTCTTGAGTTTTTGTTGCAGCGATTATTCGCTGCAGAAGTTTCGAATGGGTTAATGTACAATAAATGTTATTCAGCCAAAAATTTGCCTTTCTTTGCTCTTGTCTGCCTTAAAATCAGAACTTTATCTTGTTGTGACAATTATGGCGCACCCTGTAGAGCCCTCCAAATGACAAATGATTCAATTGTTTCTTAAAATGTTTTTTAAAATGTTAAAACGGTATGCTTCTTAAAATTTTCTATATTTAAGCAAGTTCAAATTTATCCAAATTTAATTTCTCTTTCCAGTAACTCATTCATCGGCAATCTCGGCCGTTTTTTGGGTTTCCTGATGAACGTCTTGATGATCACTTTCATTAAAATCAATGTTTTGTATTACTCTTTTCAAATTTAAATCATTTATTCAACAAATTAAAGAAGCGATTCGTTGGCGCCATTTCTTTTTGTAGAATTGTTTTCAAATTTTGAATTTCATCGGCTTCTTTGTGTTTTTGTCGTTTTGGAATTGAATAAATGGTATGTAGAAGTGAAAATAAGAAGGCTTTGATTATGTTTGTTTAAATGAAAAGATATTCAACTAACAATTCATGATCAATTCAATAAAACCAAACCAGGAGATTGCAAAAGAAAACTCATTATGAATAGCGGTGAGTAAACAAAGTAAACAAAGTAAACAAAGTTTTTCTTTCCAAAAACTCCTACGAGTTCGTTGGCAAGTTACTCTTTTGTTACTCAAGTTACTCTTTTGGTTTCAGTATTTGCGCAATGCGATGTCAAAAAGAAAACACTAGATGAGGTAGTTTTGTGATCTCATTCTCGACTTTCTAGCCATAGGCTAAGCTTTCGTTTGAACAGTTCAATAGAATTCCATTTTTTGAAATCTATAGTAAGATGTTATGATAAGCATTACAAAATTTACGTTTCAATTTCAAATTCAGCTTTGAAATTACAATTTCAAAGCTGAATTTACAAGTTTCTCTTCGACAGCACCGTCCTGCCAGCATTCTGCTACGGGACCGAAACTTGGGCCACAACATTAACCAGGGAGCAAGCAACCAAGCTGACCCATCGAGCCTTGGAACGGAACCTTCTCGGCCACAACAGGAAAGCACAGCTGGACCAAGGCCTACGGAGCAATCTGGCAACTGTCGGGACTCAGTGACTCCTTGGAAGTGATAGAGAGGCGAAGGCCTCGATGGGGATGTAGCCAGAAGAACAGATGACAGATGGACCAGACGGGCCACGGAATGGTCCCCACGAGAAGAGATCTGTCGGGAGATCAAATGGAGCACAAGGGTCGATCAAACACGACTCCAGCCTCGACTCCAGGTTGGGAAGACTCCAGCCACCAGCACCCCAAGCACAGGCAACAACAAGACTCCGCTCCAGAAATATCCAAGATAGACATCGCTCCAGAAATACCTGAGATAGACACCATTGGATGTCCAGATCAGAATTGACCTGTCGGGAGGCCAATAATCAAATGGAGCACAAGGGTCGATCAAACACTCCGAGAAAGGTTAGGAAGACTCCAGCCACCAGCACCCCAAGCACAGGCAACAACAAGACTCCGCTCCAGAAGTACCCGAGATAGACATCGTTCCAGAAATACCCGAGATAGACTCCGCTCCAGAAATACCCAAGATAGACACCATTGGATGTCCATCGCAAGAGATAGGGATAAATGGAAATTGGTTAATGGTTTGAGATCAATTTATTGTGATGTGTTATTCGGAGTTGTGATTTGCGCTAGTAAGCGATGTCAAATCAAAATTATTTTTTAAAATTGCAATCTCATACTTCTTTCTTGTTGCAAAAACTTAAAACGAGAGATTTCCAGTTGTTGATGCTTGTTTTTCTGCTATTAAGCCTCACCAAATATATCTCAATTGCTGACGGTGGCTTTGTTTATGCGAATAATGGAGAATCAGGTGAAATTCTGTATTCGATTAACGTAAACAATTCTTGGCTACATAAAAAAATGATCTTTAAAATGGTGATCAACTCTTTCAGACGAGTTCAACCTCTACATGACCAACTCTGCCAGTGTTCTGGACGAACTTTTCGCAAAACGATCGTACAACAAAAATCACCCACCAATTTTTGTGCCTATGCCGAAAAATTTCTCAGGTTTAACTTAGCTTAAACGATTGATTTTGTGATTTTCAGCAAGTAAAACTCGACGTATGAAGATCGAATTCACGCTCAACTACGTGAAACTCTTTGACCTGGTTTGAACGTTTGAACTGGTTTGAAATTTGAACTTTGAACTTTCAAGCTCTTCTTTGACCTTTTTTAGGATGCAGAGAAACAAATGTTTAGTTCGAGATTGGAGATTCAAATGGTAAGTGATGAGTTTGATGCTTTTTTTTGAGTTTCCGAGTTCCTCTAAAAGTTGAGGCAAATTTTAGTTCAGCTTAGGCTACTTTTAGTTTAGTTTTGGCCAATTTTAGTTTAATTTTGATCAATTTTAGTTTAATTTTGATCAATTTTAGTTTAGTTTTGATCAATTTTAGTTTAATTTTGATCAATTTTAGTTTAGTTTAGATGAATTTTAGTTTAATTTTGATCAATTTTAGTTTAGCTCTGACCAATTTTAGTTTAGTTTTGTCCAAATCCGAGTTCCAATTGGTAGACTCAATAAAATGAATAGCTTCAATCGATTCTCCGATCCCGAAAACCCCCGGGTACAAATTTACGCCTGAATATCTTCTTCTTGAAAGCAAAAGAAGCAAAATAGAGCAAAGGAGAAATCCCTATGTAAAAGGTGTTCTTTGTGCGGCTCATGGCTCTCGAACTGGCAAAGCGCTCGGGTATAGGGTTCTTCCTTTTTGAAATCCTTTTTTGAAAGGGAAAGGAGCGTTGAGCGACTGAACTTTTCGGCTTTTTGGTGTCTGCCAAACTGCCAAATTGCCGGAACTTGCCAAATTGCCGGAGCCAAGCCAGCACTGGGTAGCCAAGCCAGCCAAATTGCCCAAATTCCTGGGATCATCTTTGCCTTAAATTTGGGTGTATTTTTGCAAAAAGCCTCAAATTTTATCAACCGAAAGCCGTGATCGATTCTAGAAATGGCGTGACCCGAGACTCACCTGGAACGAAACGCAATTTGGAGGGGTCACCTCAGTTTTGACGACTTCGGACATGATATGGATAGCCGATGCCGGGATTTCTAGTGCGTGGGTGATTTCTCGGATTACTAGATTCGTTTAGAATCTTTATCTCCAGCTTTCTCAGTCAAGCTCCAATTTATTCAGCAAAACCCTGGATGTGGTGAGCGGCCTGGCTGCGCAAACAGTGCAAATCTATAGCAATGGGACGATCTCAATGACAACGGCATACTACGCGGAAACGGCTTGTCCAATCTATGTGAGATTATTTTAAAAACTTTAAACTATACGATAAGATAATGCTCAATGCTCAATGCTCAATGCTAGTGAAGATTCTGTGCAAACGGTTAGCTTAACTAAAGAGTAACAGGATTTGTTCATTCTTCATTCTTCGTTCAGAAGAACTTTAATGGAATTATTTTGTGAACTGAAATACTGGTTTATGTCTAATAAGGTAGAAAATGATAGGACCACTCCTAAAATTTTACATTTTTTGGCTATTAAACTTAATAAAGCTAAATAGCACTTAAATCCAATAAATATCTACAAAAATTGGCTTAAATATTTCGAAAGTTATTTGAATAGATTTGAAACAAAATTATAACGATTTCTTGATTGAACATCTTCTGCAAAATGATAGGATCACATAAGAAAAACAATAAATCCGAAAATAAACTTGAAACAACGGATATAACACTTGATGGCTCGAGAAAGAGTGCTTTTGTGGACGAGAGCTCCAATTTGTACCTTGACGTCCTGTAGCGACATCACCGAATTCGACAATTCGATTTTGTGCTAGGAAAGGAAGTAGTCGATCCGCAAGGACATCCTGATAATTGTTCGAGTTCATGAGACAAGTCACAAATTATAAATCAAGAACGTCATCCACATTGAAAGCGCCCCATATCGTTAGTGATCCTCCTCCGAAGTTTCGACGCCCACAAAGCATTGGATCTTTTCTCAAATCGTGCCAATACAGTGCGGTGCAAAACCATACGCCACCCCCTAAATTTCAATTTTCTGTGGCTTTCGTGCCAGTAACAAAAAAACTGAAAACGTAGTTAGATTCAGGACCAAAAATAACCCTTAAACCCCAAAAATCATCGACACGGCATGAATAGGGAAAATGTAACAGCCAAAAAACGAAAATTCACCCGGTGCAAAACGATACGCCACCCCCAAAATTTTGGTGTCATTTCATACTTTTTCTAGTTTTAAAAGCTAAATCTGCCTCTAGCAAACACAAGTCCCGCCCTTTCACTTCAGATTCCTTATAAGGAGGCTTAAAGAGCTTACTTTGTCTTACTTCAACTTCAAAAACACAATGCCGAAAGCAAATGCCGAAACATTTTCCCTATTCATGCTATGTCGATGATTTTTGGGGTTTAAGGGTTATTTTTGGTCTTGAATCTAACTACGTTTTCAGTTTTTTTTGTTACTGGCACGGAAGCCGCAGAAAATTGAAATTTAGGGGGTGGCGTATGGTTTTGCACCGCACTGTAGTACTTGTTGCCGTCGGGACCATCCAAATTAAATTTTTTCTCATCGCTAAAGATGACCTAAAAAGAAAAAAATAGTTAACAACTCAAGGCAAAAAGTTTACTTTTTTTCCAATGGATGGTGATGAGATCCCGAGCCCAAGACATCCTTTTTTCTTTGTGTGCCGGCTTCAGTTTTGGTGCTTTCTTCATGATTGCTCTTTTGATGTAACGGATGTAACACTTGATGGCTGCTTTTGTGGACGGGAGCTCCAATTTATACCTTGACTTCCTGTAGCGACATCACCGAATTCGACAACCGACGTCCCATATGCCATTCAGCGTCAGCACGGATAGTGAGCTTTTGATGACGTCCCGGAGACTTTTTCTTGCCCTACTTGAAAGGATCCTTCAAGAAATTTGCGACAACTTGATGCGAGCGCTTCATTTTCTTTGCGATCTTTTGATTCGACAACTTTCTTCCTTTCAAAATCGCAATTTTCATCTGTTCGATCCGCGAAAGCGATTTTCCATGCCCTATCCTCCTAAAAAATAAAAATTAGTTTGAAAAAGAAATAGAACAAGTAAAAATGGTTATGACAGGTAGAAAATGAAAAAATAAATGAAAAAATGAAGAATAAAAAATAAAAATGAAAAAGAAACGTGATTTTCCTATCATTTTGCAACAAATCATAAAGAAATGATGAAAAATTTGTAGCTTTTAAAGTAAATGATTTCGTAAACGGTATTTGTGCGTACTTTTGTATATAAAATTTGAATTTAAGCATTGTTTTGCATTTTTAGTTATATAAAGTCAAAAATCGAGGATGGTCCTATCATTTTGTAAAGTACTGGACAGGTAAAAGTCTAGCCAAGCCAGCACTGGGTAGCCAAGCCAGCACTGGGTAGCCAAGCCAGCACTGGGTAGCCAAGCCAGCACTGGGTAGCCAAGCCAGCACTGGGTAGCCAAGCCAGCACTGGGTAGCCAAGCCAGCACTGGGTAGCCAAGCCAGCACTGGGTAGCCAAGCCAGCACTGGGTGCCAAGCCAGCACTGGGTAGCCAAGCCAGCACTGGGTAGCCAAGCCAGCACTGGGTAGCCAAGCCAGCACTGGGTAGCCAAGCCAGCACTGGGTAGCTAAGCCAGCACTGGGTAGCCAAGCCAGCACTGGGTAGCCAAGCCAGCACTGGGTAGCCAAGCCAGCACTGGGTAAGCCAAGCCAGCACTGGGTAGCCAAGCCAGCACTGGGTAGCCAAGCCAGCACTGGGTAGCCAAGCCAGCACTGGGTAGCCAAGCCAGCACTGGGTAGCCAAGCCAGCACTGGGTAGCCAAGCCAGCACTGGGTAGCCAAGCCAGCACTGGGTAGCCAAGCCAGCACTGGGTAGCCAAGCCAGCACTGGGTAGCCAAGCCAGCACTGGGTAGCCAAGCCAGCACTGGGTAGCCAAGCCAGCACTGGGTAGCCAAGCCAGCACTGGGTAGCCAAGCCAGCACTGGGTAGCCAAGCCAGCACTGGGTAGCCAAGCCAGCACTGGGTAGCCAAGCCAGCACTGGGTAGCCAAGCCATATCAGATCATAACCAGCATTGGGCAGGTAAAAGTCTAGGAAAAATCGACGGTGGTTCTATCATTTTGCAATGATTTTGCAATGATGATGTGTTAAACCCGTGTGTCATTCTTGCTTCATAACGTTTATAATATAAATTAATAAAATTAATAACATGTAAATGCCAAGAAGTATAGTTATTATATAAGAAAGCTTGAAAGGCTTCAACATGTCTTTTTCTAGTCTTTTCTAGTCTTTTCTAGTCTTTTTTTCTAGGCAAATGTCTTCCCGTTTGATTCACAGAACTGCAGCATCGAGATTCTTTCGCTTTCTTTAGAAACGTGAGTTGAATTTGTTATTCAAAGTACTTTGTGCTCAAAACAAACACTTTCTGGCATCTTCATCTTGAAATCGAGTCGAGTGCGCTAGGATGAGAGTGTTTCGAGCAAAAAGTACACGCAAAGTTCAATAGAGCTATCAGAATCGAATCTGTTTAGTGAATGGATCTCAATGGAAGCAAGCTTTCTCAATTTACCCGGACAATTGGTGGTTAGTTTATCTTGAAGGAGGAGTGGAGGAGGAGTGAGGTTTAGGGAAATGGTGAATGGGACGTGGTGAATGCTTCGGCAGTCTTGTTTCCACCAGGATTGACCGAAGTGATGCAAATTGTAATATTCCAGAGATTATCTACATTTCAAGATCTCAAATCCATCATTTCTTCAAAATTTCAAATTTTAGGTCACTTTTCTGATCATTATCAAACGTGTACCAAACTTTTATGTCTACGTCATCGCTTTGCCGTGTTTCATTCTGACCGTTTTATCGATTATCGGAATGTTTTGGACACCGAATACGAAAAAGGAACAGTTGACAAAAGTTTGCGTTGCGGAAAGGTCACCAAATAACTTTTATTAGCTGAGTATCGGACTTACAAGTCTTGTCTCAATCACTGTTTTGATGGGAATGTTGGCGGATGCTATTCCGAAAACTCAAGTTTTTCCGTTGCTTGGTGGGTATTTGAACTTTATCAAGTTTTAGAATTAATAGAGCGTTAACGGAGTAAAGAATTGTAACTTCAAGACCATGACATTCTTGTTTAAACCTCTTTTGGTTTAGAACTGGATGTTAGACATGCTATCTGAAAAATTTTTTACCGGATCGGATCGGATCGGATTTAATCCGAAATCTCAACGTTTAGGATCGAATCGGATCGAATCAAAGCAACATTTAGCCAATTTTTTATCGGAAACTCTGATGAAATACACCTTTGAAAGTGTAAGTTAGTTCATGGCATTTCTACCGGATTTCTTTTCTACGGGATTTCTACCAAAACTAGTTTCAAAAGTGCAGATTGTAGTCAAAAGGTTAAAAATAAGAAAAAAACCCTAAGCTCTAGTCATTACTCAGCGCAAAATCAATAACATAACAAAGATCACTGAGCAAAAAACTAAATGAAGTATATAACTGAATTAGCTATTCAGATCGATAAATGTTTGAAAGCCTTAAATGGTTCAAAGAATAAAAAGCTACAATACGCACAAAGGTGATTAGTTGTTGAACTATTTCGAAGCGGATTTGAAATCTTAACTGTTCGGATCAGGACAGCTCGGATCGCGATTCGAAGGTCGATCAGAAGGCCGATCCGATCCGATCAGAAGGCTGATCCGATCCCATCCAATCCAAAGGCCGATCGGATCTAATCCGAGATCCGATCTGAGCTGATCCGAGGGCCGATCCGATCCGATCAGAAGGCCGATCCGATCCGAGGGCCGAGCCGATCTTATCCGAGAGCCGAGCCGATCTTATCCGAGAGCCGAGCCGATCTTGTCCGGGAGCCGATTCGATCCGATCAGAAGGCCGATCCGACCCGAAGGCCGATTCGATCCGATCCGAGGGCCGAGCCGATCTTATCCGAGAGCCGAGCCGATCTGATCCGATCCGATCCGATCCAATCCAAAGGCCAATCCGATCCGATCCGATTTGATCCGTCGGATAGCATGTCTACTGGATGCGTCCTTTTGATCGAAGTGTGTTGCTCTCGATTATTGTCTTTTCTAAAAAGTGTCAACATGCAAAAATACCGTAATCTGAGCTTCAGCTTTATCCAAGTCACCTTTAGTTGCATTC